TACATACACATACATATATTTAATACATAAATAAAGTTAAGGGAACATGCAGTTTACTACAATCTTTTTCTAACCATCGTGGCTAGTAATCATTTCGTTTGAAGCTTGCTAATTATGCCATAACATAGATGGTGGAGACATGTGTTTGTGAAATACGAAGACGACCCGACACTCACCCGGGGGTATGAGTTGCCCTACTTTCCCCTATATTAATTTTATCTGCATACAAATACTTCATGATTTCATATTATGTCTTTTCAAACACAATCGGGGATATTTTTCCTTTTGTTAGGTTGTTATTTTTTTAAAACTATACGTATAGATTAACATATATATTATTTATAAATCTTATAAGAGAATGTGCGGTATACGACGCGTTAGTATTTATGACGATTATATTCGGAATGTTATTTTATCGACTATATATATTACAAAAGTGATGATGATGATTCTTTCCTCGGATCGTTATAGATAATAGTCCATTTATCACATTTAGATCATCTAGCAGTATTGATAATTTCTTAAGAAAAAGATCAAGGATGATCCTTGATTTCTCTTGCTCCACTTAAACTACTTACGGTCCTATTTCTTCATCTACCTTTCATTTGCATCATACCACCGGTAATCGTTTTGTGTAGTTAAATAGAAGATGAAACCAGTTACGCGGTACTTCAAGTTGCATCATAATCGATCATCCGAAATATTATTCTGAACTTTCGCCTGAGAGATCTAAATAGATCATCTGATAAATAATATCTTGCAAATGAGAGATAGAGAGAAAGAGAGAGAGAGTGATTGTACATCTCGGTAATATTTTATATCACGGGAATGAATTCCTGTATTTACGTAAGTTTTAAACGTAAAGATGGCGTTTACGCGGGTTACATATTACTTTAATTCCTTACGGTTTATCTATCGATTTAATTTTCTTTTTTTTTTTTACATTATTTTTATCGATCTAACGTAAAATATATTTTTTCATTAAATAATAAATAAATTCATGATAATACGTAATTATTATATATAAATTATTTAAAATTAACATTTCTCTCTAAAACAATTGGTAAAATATACGGAATGGAATGTTTTTTTTTGTTTTGTTTCCACAATTATTTATTTCAATTAAAAAAAATATTAATTTAATTATTTAACAATAAATTTCTCCATAAATTCTTCATACCATACATACATACATATATATATATATATTTATAAACACTTATGTGCGAATAACGATTCATTACTTATACCGGTGAAATATAAGATACAGTTTAGAGAAAAATGATAATAAATATTATAATATATTATTTGGTAAAAACAGTATTGACGTAAGAGGGTTTAAATTCGATGTTAGGATTATGATGCCGGAAGAGATCGTGATCTCAATTACCTCAAGAAAAGATTTCGTATCTTTCGTGACGCGATGAGGAGTAGTACCCTAATCGACAGTTCGAAGTCACGTGCGTAGGCCCAATTAAAATTTAAAGCTATTTCACTCATCCACTGAACGTCTCATCCCGTAATTCATCATAGAGTGAAGGGAATATACGTTCTTTTACGCCTCCCACATCTTACGGTTGCTCATCCTAATGCAGGGAAGGATATGTATACGCAACCTGCACTAAGGATAAACTGTAACAAAGGATCAGCAGACTATATAAACACCGCGGAGCATCATTTTCTCAGTCCACATAGAATCTTCATCGTTCATACAGCAATATGAATTATCACGAGGTACGTCATTATTTATGGATTACATAAATAACACATTTATTGATAGCCAATAAGAGATTTTATTATGAAATTTAAACACATAATTGAACGAAATAATTATCTTTTTATTCCTATCCATTTAAAAAAACAAAAAAAATTAAATACGCACGTTATTTTTAGACATGGATTCGAATATGATTAAATGAAAAAAACAATTGATAGAAACAGAAATAAAACAATAATTATTTTTAATCGTTCGTTTTTATTTATCGAGATAAATTTAATGTCACGAGTAATTATTCATGTTTTAAGAATGAGAACTTGCACGAATATCGTTTCATATAAATTCCATCGTACATATGTATTATCGTATAATATACGACCCCTATGTTGATCGTTCATGTAAAGGAAGAATTTAAAATAAACGAAACGTTGCTACAATTATTTAATGACACAATTTGCACGATATTTTATGGGGATGGGGTGGGAGATTAAAAAGTTAAATTTCATTATAAGTATAGAATTTGTTCGATATTAAATATTAAAACGATACTGCGAAAATAAATAGAATAGTTAAAAAACATTAATAATGAAAATATAAATATAATTTAATGTTTATTATAGTGTACGACAATTGTCATAGTACTATCGTGTATCGGTAGTAATGTACTTGCTGGACTCTTACCGGGTGGTGGTGAAAGTGGTGGGTATCAATACAGACCAGGTGGCGGATTCAATGATAGATTCGGAGGGGGGGTAGGTGGTGGATTTGGCAGAGGTGGTGCAGATTTTGGTGGATCTAACTTTCGAGAAAGACCTTCGGGATTATACGGAACACCAGCTTTCGGAGGGGATGGTAATCGTGCCGGTAGTGGTGGTGGTGTAGGTGGTGGTAGTGCAGGTGGTAGTACTGGGGGTGATTTTGGAGGAGTATCTTCGACTTATGGGGCACCTGGATTTGGTACCGGCGGTAACAGAGGATACCAAGGTGGTTTTAATGGAGACTATGGAAGGGTATGAATAAATTGCTATTAATAAAATATTGATAAAATATAAATGAATATAAAAGAGAGAGAATATTTCTTGCAAAAAAATGTGATTTTTATATTATTAAGATTTATTCAAAGAATTATATATTTACACGCAGAGTTTGAAAAAATCGTTCAAACGATAATATAAATAAAAATGTTTCGTTTCAATTAACAGCCGCAACCGTACAATTTCCAATATCAAGTTTATGATCCACCGAGTGGAAACGATTATTCCCAACGCGAAAGTAGCGATGGAAATCTTGTGCAAGGGGAATATAGAGTTTTGTTACCGGACTCGAGAACTCAAATAGTCAAATATACAGCCGACGATGCTAATGGTTACAATGCAGATGTTCAGTACGAAGGTCAGGCTCAATATCCACAAGGTATGGTCAATTAATGAATTTAAATCAGAGTTTTTATTTAATGATCTTCTATATTTGTAAAATTATATTTTTTTTTATTTATTTATATATTTTAAATAAAAAGACGGCAGATACGGGAACAATGCTTTCGGAAATGGAAATATTGGAAGTAATCAATATTTGCCACCACGTGGAAATTACCGGAAATAAATAAGATTATCATTACTGATTATTATATTATCATTGATGTACTCGTCCAAGCTTGAGCAACAACAACAACAACAACAACAACCACCATAGACCTCTTCACTTCTGCAAACGTTTTTTTTTATTATTTAATCGTGCATATTTGTCATATTTTTCATCGTTCATAGCTATTTATGTAAATGTAACTATGAAATAGTATAATTTATTACATATACACCGTATATACTACGTTACATATACATTATAATTATTATACGCGAATAATATTATAATACAAGAAATATACGTGCTTACCGCAAAACAAAACTCTCCCCCCCCTGGGTCTTCCACATAGAGGAATTCTGCAATTTATATATAACTATATCTATGTAATTATATATACACTTGTAGTCAAATGACGAATATATAATACCTTTTATAATCATCTTACCAAAACTCGTATTTCAATTTTTGTTAACAGATCTACGATTCTTTGCTCCAGCCCGCCTTTTTTCTTTCCTTGTTTTTTTAAATTTAATTTTTGAATTCGTAAAAAAATTAATGCAACGAGATTGGAGTTTACAAAGATTTCATTAAATACATGTTTAACTCTTTCTTTGCAAGCATGCAGAATCGACCGATCGAGATCGTACGAGCAAATTTATATGGAACGATATTTGTGTAACACGGAGGAATAAAAATGAATATGTTGTTATTATAAACAGAAGTTAAGGAAAAAAGATAATGAAATTTATAATTATGACTTAATCTTTTATATCTATTTTATGATACCCTAATCCCACAATTTTTGATGCAAATATATATACATTTTTGTCAAAATTATATTATTAGATATAATAAATATATGGATAGTTATAAATTATTACTATTTAATAATTATAAAAATAATAATTTAATTACAAGACTACATAACAAAATGATTAGTCTCATATACTGTTATAAACTATTGAAACATATTTTTTTTAAATAGTCCGTAATATTTTTTATATTTAAAATATTAATTTATTTTCTTTCTGTATAAATTAGTTTGAATTATTTTTTTTCTTGCTTCTTTCTTTCTTTCTCTCTTTTTTTTTTTTACAAGTAGACGATTACTTTCTACAACATTTGTTTTTTCACATTTAAAAAACAAGCCCCGTTTGCAGCATTTTCTTGACCACTAAATACAACACATGCTAGACCATTTATAGCTGTATGATTCCAAATTTTATTTATCCATTTGTTCACAGTAGAAAAGGTTTGTTCAACACGTTCATTTTGTAATTTTTCTTCACTTATTTTAATATGACACAAAATAAATTGATGTTGCATTGCTATTTCGGTGGTTCGCTTAACCGCATTTTTGTTATTATCGGTTGTCACCAAGCGTATCTTTAAAGAAAAAATGATTATTAAGATAACGAACTATTTTTATATTTAATTATACTACTTAATTTTTAAATTACCTGGTCACCCTCGTTATAATTTTCATCAGTTCTAACATTCAAGGATGAAGTACTTAAATATTTAGAATATTCGTTTATGATATCTTCAGTGCCAACAATAGTTGCAGTCCTCTGCTCTTTAGCTACGTAGTTAAAGATAGACATTGCATATTTATTTATATCAGTTTTCTTCATTTGTCGTTCATATATATTATTATTACCGATTTTTATGGTCTCGCAGACTTGCAAATCTGCTTGTATTACGGCATCCCCGAAATCTATACTATTAGCTAATTTTAATTGCACTAATTTCATAGAAGCTTGCGAATCTTCCGTCGAACAATGACCTTTTGTGCCTTTTTGTATATTTACATTTAAAAAATTTCTCGCTAAAAGTTGTAATTTAGACTTTCGGTGTCTGAAAATAGAGAAGTTAATATTGTATGAAAATATTTTTCTCCAAAAATACAAATAAAACAGGAAACTAAACTCATAAAAATAAATCTACGATATATACTATAAAAATATTAATTACCGTTCGCCAGTTATATTAAAGATAACAGATGTATCAATGATATACGGATGCATCATTTTTAGCGTATGCAGGTCAGAATTTAAACTTTGTCCTACAAGAATGCAATCAGGAGGAATGATCTTTTTTAATTCTTCTTGTACGTCTGTCAAAGTTGTGGTAACATCACTTAACAATTCTTTTGTAATACCACTGTATTGAGTCAAGTAATCGATGATCTGATTTTTAGGCTTAACAAGAGTATCATAAACAACCTGTGATAATAAAGAAGAAAGTATGAAATTGTTTATCCGAAAAATCATTTACAATTTTTTTTAAATATTATGCAACTTGCATTAAAACTTTCATCGACAAGTGATATTCTAGTGAGTTCCAAATTTCCAGTATTGGTCTTACACATTTCGCAATCCAAAGCCAACATAGGTGATTTAGCAGTAACTTCCAAGTAACTATCTTTTGTGAATATATAATCACTGTATCTAAAATGCATCACTAGTCTCAAATGATTCTTTGTAAAATTACAGTTTATTTAATATACCATATTAAATGTTACAATAAAACTTACTTTCTCGCTAAATCTCCTTTCATTGGTACGGGATAATTTTCTTCCACCATTTGTCGTAAGGATAGTAATAATTTAACCCTAGAGAATTTATCAGTAGAAGGTAGATCGCTATTATCTTTTATAGAATTTGTTGCAGGCATATTAACAGGGAAGACAGCTTTCATTAACCGTATCATATCTGTCGCATTTTGAAACGCAGTATCTAGAGAACCAAACTCTGTAATAGGAATACTCTTGTACATTTATGCATTATCGTTAATGATATTTTTATTTAGTTGAATATTAATAAATACGTTTAACTAGTTTGTCACTTTGTGTTCTTGTTAATGGTACTGCTACAAGTTCTTCTATTATAGTACTACCATAAGATGCTGGTGTAAACACTTCCAAACGAAATTCCAAATTATTTGTTATGTTTGAAAATCTATTTTCATAAGCTATAAAATGATATGCTGTAAGACCTTCTACTACAAAAACTATGGTGTGAGTGACCTGCAAAACGAGTCATAAAAAAAAATAACTAATTAAATGTGTCTTATTATTTTTATCATTGCTTTTTATTTATTTTTACTTTTTACCTTGTTGTATTTTTCAAGTTGACACCATCGTATAGGCGTGCATGGCGAGTGGTGGCCAAGAATTGAATATAACAACAAATGTTGTATATCACTGAATAATAGTGGAGTTCTTTCTGTATTTGAGGAATTAGAAACAAGGCATGCATTTCCACCAACTACCTTTAATTGTAGTCGAGGTCTTCCTTTAAGTAGCTTTTTGCGTTCCTTTAATTCTTCTTTTAACTTCAGATATTCTTCTCCAGATAATCTGTATTTAGACAAATAAAATCAGAAAAGATAGTTTAAAAATTTCCTCGTGCTTTCGTAAAAATGATTTTATAGTTAAAAGAACTATTTATAAAGATCTAAGAACCTAGGCTTCTTTCGATCACATTCTTCGTCTTCTCTTATTACAGTATTCCCTTCGTCTTTTATTTCATCACTTATGCTATTATGGGTTTCATCTACTGTCGTAGAACAAAATCGTTTACGCTTTATCTTTTCATTATTTAATATTTCAGAACTTTCATTTGAGTGATTCATTGTATCGGTTTGTTCTACCTTCTAAAAATATATATTTAAATTAATAATATAATACAAATTAGATGTATATAAAATAACTTACAGTTTTTTGTTTAATTTTAGACTCTCTATCCTTGTCATTCAATTTAATAATCTCCAAAAGAGCAGCCATTTTCTTCTTTTTCTTTTCTAATCGTTGAAGTTTCTTCGTTGTAGGATTCTTCATTATTCTCGATTACTTTTAGATGGGTTACAACAATCATTTGTTGCCTATAAAATTAAAAAAATAAATACATTTGAAGTAAGATAGTAAATATGCAACCATAGATCCACGAGGAAGGTTATAATTTAAAAAGAAATATTCAAAAATTAAAAGAAAATTTATATAAATGAAATCAAGTAAATGTTAATACTTTAGTTCATTGGCAAAAAAGATCATTAAGCGTATTAAAAAAGTGTCTTTTACAAGGACACATTTTTTAAAATAAATACGTTTTCCTTATTATTTGTTTATTAATTATCGTTAGAAAATAAATAATATTAGATAAATCAATGATTTTTTTTGCCTACAATATTGTATAGTAAATGTACCGTAAAAATCAATTTCAATTTGGAATATATTTCAATACAATTATGTTTAATACAAAACATTGCACATTACCATTTTCAATTATTGAAACGAGAGATTTCACTCAGTACAACTAAATTTCTACGATTGTTCACTCGTAACTTAGCAATGCAATTCAAATTCAAATAAATATTAAATATACATGTGTATATATATTTATATATATATATATGTATATTTCTTTTTATTTGTCTACTATAGTATTATTATTTGTAAGTAGAATGCAAGTATTATCATATAAATTATATATATTTGATTTAATTACATAAAAATAAATGTCTTACATTGCACGAATTTAAAGAGGTTAGAACGAACCAAGTTATTTCAAGTAGTAACTAATAGATGGCGCCTGTGTGTTATTTTTTTAAGTTTCATGATAAATTATTTTTTTTTTAATTAATTTATATTTTTTTAATAAGTTCGACAAAATCGCTGGTATTTTAAATATCGAAAATCTTTAATAAATATCACATAACAATTGTACAAAAGACTGCATCTCTCTGAAATGTTACACAACGCATTAATTAAAAAAATAAAAGCAAATGCAAATGAAATATTTGAATTTAGGATTCGTTTAAGCATACAATTTTTGAAAATTTATAAAATCAATTGATCAAAAGAATTATTTAGAAAAAAATGACAAATTTAGATTTGAAAAAAACTATTATAATCTTGAATGAGATTTGCATGTATTAAATTCAATGATTTCCATTTATTTATCCAAAGATGGTATTAACCTCGTTCGCAATCGATTATTTTCGATTTAAAATACGAAGGATCTACCGGAAAAAGTAAACACAGCAACGTTTGAATAGGCGCGAAAACTTAAAATGGGACATCGTTCCTGCACGTAATCCTAACATAAATGGTTTGTAATTAAGTTTACCGGTTTTCCATGTACTTAATTACATCTTTGTCCCAATTAAAAAGTGATTAAACTCCATCGTACTTTCTCAATTAAGACAATGAAACTATCTTTTAATAAAATTAACAAATTCTGCTTTTACATTTTAATGTATATGTGTGTGTGTATGTATTATGTTTCTTCATTAAATTCTAAAAACGATTTCTTTTTTAAAAAATATAATTAAAATTAACTACATGAATTACACGTCTGAAAACATATACAATTTTACAAAAATGCATCCGTCAAATAACATAATTTTTAACTCTAACAATTGTTAGCAAAAGATAGATGATCGTAATTCATAGCGAATGGTACACTTTAAAGCACAAATTCATTTATCAAATAAATATTCTTTAACTCAACTTTATTTCCAACAATTGTTTTTGTGAAAATTGAACAAATAATAAAATAATCTATAGATATTTAACAAAAATAAATGTCTTCTCATTGAACAAGCATATTATTAAAAATTTCGAATAATTCGTATTTTACGATGAGTTAATAAATCATAAACAAAATTTCTAATGTATCTATATATTTACATACGATTCTAAACTATTGTAAAATAAAATAATATATACAGTATATTCGCGACACTGATACCAGTTTAAGAGTATACACATCTTGAGGAAAGTACGACCGCAATAAGTTTGTCGTGTAGTTGTGGAACGACGGTGAAAGCGCATTATGTTCATTTTGCTACTAAAGATGGTTCGAATATACAGTTAACAAGAGTATTTCTTTCATAAGATCAAGTGGCACGAAAGGCGTCATCGTCATTTAGGAAAAAAACAGAGCAAAACAAAAGGAACAAATAAAAAAACTCATTCTCACGCATAAATTATATATATATTTAAAAAAAAAAAAAAAAAAAAAGAAAAGAAAGAGAGAAAAAAAGTTGCATTAAAGCCATCACTGGAATGCATAATTTTTTTTACCTCATTCTCTTT